CTCCGTTTCAGGCGATTTGTAGTATACAATCAACCCCTGCCACTGATCGCAAATCGGATGCGCTAGGAAGTTGACTGATAGATAAATATAATAGCAAACGCCTGCTAAATAGTATTTCTGTATCTCAATTAGCAAAACAGTCAGTCCTTGTTTAGTTCCACCTCAAAATTTCAAAAAGTGCTACGGTACCTGTCACATCGAATGTTTGCGGCCTATGTATGGAGCATTAAATGTAGACGAAAAAAAATTAATTACACAGTTTAGTGGGAAATTACGAGACGAACGTTTTGAGCCTAATTAGTCCATGTTTGAACACTAATTGCTAAATAAAAATGAACATGCTACAGTAGCCCCAAATTCCAAATTCGTAAAACTAAACACGCGCACTGAAAAACTCTGGTGGATGCATTTAATTTAGAGCAAAGGTGGAGCTAGTGGGGGCCAAACTCAAGGGTCACCGACACTAGGACCTGTTGGGCCCCACTGCCTCCAAATCCTAGTGAAGCCCTAAAACATACTTCCAAGAATTTTTTACCCTTGGATGAAAGTTATGTTTTCTTTGGATGGCTCACATGCAATACACAAGGATTGAAGGGTTCACGAAAGCAACTTCACGCAACACCAAGTGACCAAACTCAGTGCAAAACAACAAATCACATGTGGACCTAGCTTTCCTCAAGAAGAGGGGGGTATGGGTTGCCTGACCCCTGGATTTCTTCCTAGAGCTCCACGGCCTTCCTCTGGTCAATATGCAAACAAACACATATTTGGTTGATCTTCACCCTTGATGATATGACTGTTTGATCCAAGAGAAGATGTGCAAAGGACTTCAATCTATGCCCAATTTTTTATAATTTGGTCCTTTTTTAAAAAAAATTACGTTTGGTCGCTGGGAGACGTAAACTCATCTTTGGACCCTGCGGATCGGCGCCAGGACTCATGGCTCCGAGGTAACACGTCTCGGCGCCACAGGTCTTGGCTTCAAGGTGCCTGGCCGTGCACAGCAGGGCATCCTAGGTGATGTTGATGTGGCCGGTACCTCAGAGCCACAGATCTGGACTCCGAGCTCAGAGCAGAGCCATAAATCTTGACTCCGAGCTCGGTGTGGCGCCGAGCTCGGCGCCAAGATCTGTGGCTCCGACCTCAGAGCCGTGGATCTCGACTTCAAGCTCGGAGCCATGGATTCAAAATCCACGGCCAAATTCAGAACAGTTAAATAAGCGAGGAGAAGATGAGATCCATGGCTCCGCCCGGTTTCTCAACGTTTCCCCGGGGAGGCCGCTGTCTGCAGCGCCGGGCTCAGTGCCGGTCGCTCTCACCCACGCAACCACGTGGGCAGCTGAGCGGATCAGCTGAGCAGAGCAGCGTGAGCCAGTGACAGTGAGCACTGACCACCTCGCTCGCCCTGGCTGAGACGCTGACGCTGTGACCCCGACCCCGGGGTCAAAAGACCGGAGGCCCGCCCGTGGCCAGCCAAGTTGGACGATGACGACGAGAGGAGGCCTGCCTGCTGCCTGCATTATTGGCGTTATTTTACAGCGTGTGTGTTGTGCTTGTGGAGTTGTGGTGTGGAATCAATCATTCATGTTTGTCTGGTTCCGTCATGAATCTCCTCCGTCTTTGACCCGCTGTGCCTGATAGGGAAATTTCCCGTTGGAGCACGGCGCAATATTCTCGACACCAGGCCGACTTTTTTAGCTTGATTTCCACGAATGCGTTGACATTGGACAGGGTACCTGTAAACAAGGAGACGGGAGATGCAGAATTCTATCGAAGAGCTGACTTTTTAATATGGCACTGTACTATAATACAGTACTTCAGTTTTCATGTCGCGTCACATCACAAGGACCACTCGCAAGTCACCGAGACCACTCCCGTTCCCAGGCCCACAACATCTTGGGAATGCCATCGCGGAAGACCATTTCAGAAGATCAGGAAGGGAAATCAACGTATTAGTGCCAACGCCTACACGGGTAATGCGTACTCCGTGCTTTACAACGGCAGTTGTAGAACCTCTGTACATCACAACCCTTGGCCAGCCATCGATTTCCAATCGAACTGTTGCCAGAGCTCACACACTGACACGTGTGGCGTCATTCACGCCATAAACAGCCCCAGATATGGCCCAATTAAACTTTCATTGAAAAACAAACCGAAATACTATTCAAATTTGATTTGTTGTGAGAGAAAACATTGTTCCAAAATTGAAAAAATAAGCTAAAAATTCGACGAAAAACATTAATAAACATAAGGGTAAAGTTCACTTTAGGACCTCCAACTATCACAGAAGTATGGATTTCAACCTCCAACTTCAAAACCGGATAACATTGGCCCTCCAACTCTCGAAAAAGTTCACTTTAGGACCACGGCGGTTTTTCTGGCGGTTTTGCATAAGCATGTAGAAGAGTGCTTGACATCAGCGATGACGTCAGCACTTCTTTTTAATTTGCAAAATTGATATCTTTTTATTCGGAGCTTCAAATATAGCAAATAATATATCAATTTTGATCGTCTCGACGAGCTCTTTGCAATGGTGTACTCCGTTTTGTTGTTTGAGATAATTTTATTTCATGAAAAAATAAATATTTCTACAAAACAAGTTAGAATAATGAACTCGTGGAATTTGTTAGATAAATAATATTTTATTATTATGTAACACGAAATGTTGTCTTTTTAGGTTCATTTGACCATAGAATATATAAGTTTGACCATTTTTGAAATGCAATAATTCAAAACTTGTTTTGTAGAAATATTTCTGCTTCGTGTCCGCCCGGTCCGCAAATATTTCTGCAATAATTCAAAATATTTCGCAATAATTCAACAAAGGCGCCGTGTCCGTGGGGTTCGGGTTTGCACGACACGAGCTTACGCCCGTGTGCTGCCACTCGCGTCGGCGGGCGCGAGGGCGACGAGGCGCACCGCAACGCCGACGCCACGGAGATCCTCGCCGGACGACCTTCCCATGGGGCACGCGCTCAACTTACCGATGCCGCACAAGATTCTAGACCACGAGTAAGTCACTCACTATTCTCGCCACTGCTCCCTCAATTCAATCTAGCTATCCACTTTGCCACTTCATGCGGTCATACTCATGCCATGCCGGCCAGAAGCAGATACGCATGTGTCGGCCGAATGGTCGTCCAGTTCTGTGTCTTTGCAATAGTAGCCATAGGAAAGGAAAAAGAACAGTGTACGAATCGCATTATCTTTGTATCGGATTTGGGTACAAGATAAATATAATATTACTACTACCACTAGCTACTTAATTTCACCACAAAAACAGTAAAAAAAAAACTACACTAGGAGCAAAGTAAACATATCGTTTGATCGTGTCATATGTTGTGAGTTAGTTAACCGCATGACTAGGGAAGGTTAATTCAAAAATATCTAGCGATCGTGGCAGTCCGATTGACCGTCCAACTCCCTGTTTTATATATCGACTACGTTGGTGTTGTACATATATAAATATACAAAGTATATAAAATACTTGCATACGTCAGCTTAATTGCATAACTTGTTTTGTAGAAATATTTATTTTTTCATGAAATAAAATTATCTCAAACAACAAAACGGAGTACACCATTGCAAAGAGCTCGTCGAGACGATCAAAATTGATATATTATTTGCTATATTTGGAGCTCCGAATAAAAAGATATCAATTTTGCAAATTAAAAAGGAGCGCTGACGTCATCGCTGACGTCATCGCTGCTACAGTGCCATGCAAAACCGCCTGGGAAACCGGCCAGGGTCCTAAAGTGAACTTTTTCGAGAGTTAGAGGGCCAATGTTATCCGGTTTTGAAGTTGGAGGTTGAAATCCATACTTCTACGATAGTTGGAGGTCCTAAAGTGAACTTTACCCTAAACATAATAATAGTTCGGAAAAGGGGGGAAAAGGTGGGTCGAAAGCGATGCACAGTTGGACGCAGCTCCTGTTGGCCGCAGCTACAACGACCGGCGTCCTCCTGGCCGCTGCCTGCGCGGCCGCCTCCGCGCTCTACGCCTTCCATGCCCCCGCCGTCCAAGCCCAAGCCCATGTATCGATCTCATCCTCTCTTCGCTTGTTTAACTTTTCTGAACTTGGCCGTGGGTTTTGAATCCATGCTTGGCGCCAGGATCCATGGCTCTGAGCTCGGAGCCGAGATCCACGGCTCCGAGGTCGGAGCCACAGATCTTGGCGTCGAGTTCGGAGCCAAGATCTGTGGCTCCGAGGCACCAGCCACGTCAACGCCACCTAGGATGCCCTGCTGTGCACGGCCAGGCACCTCGGAGCCAAGATCTATGGCGCCGAGACGTGTTACCTCAGAGCCATGAGTCCTGGCGTCGACCCCCAGGGTACAAAGATGAGTTTACGTCTCCAGAGGGCAAACGTAATTTTTCTTAAAAAAAGACCAAATTGTAAAAAAATGGGTGAATCTATGGGCCCACTTCAACTGCTATAAATAGGGTACCACTCGCTTCCAAGACATGAACGTCACCTCCAAGAAGTAGAGAGCTCCACTTCTACTTAGTGCTACTACGATAATTTAGTGTGCAATGACACGTTAATAATAACCATGTAGTCGTTGCACACCTCTTTTCCTAGTTGGTAACGGGGTCCAGGGCCTGTTTGGAATGCGGGATTTTTTCCCCATTCTTGTGTTTTTTTGTGAAATTGAATCGATTCCTGTGAAATTCCTGTGTGATTTCTGTGAAATTCCTGCGTCTTGGATCTAGTGTTTTTTTATAGGGATTCCCGAGGGTCCTCCTGACTCCTGACACACCGACTGGGTCCATACCGTTGTTGACCGATTCAACTCGCATGCAATGATCCAAGACGCTGCCGGGTCAAGCCGCCGGCCAAGGACGGCACAACAGTGCCTGCTTGGATCAGATTCCACAACCGGAGAGGAACTATAGAGATGAGCGCATATTACAGGGAGGCAACAAACTAACCAGCCCCTCACTCACACACACGCACATACACCACACACCTTGCCATCACTTAGCTTGGAGATCTATCATGGAGGCAAGTATGAAGCCTTATTACGTGGCCATCCTCATACAGCTGATCTACACTGGCATGTTCGTGATATCCAAGGCTGCGTTCAACCAGGGGATGAACACCTACATCTACATCTTCTATCGCCAGGCAGCTGGCTCCCTCATCTTGCTGCCTATAGCTCTTCTACGAAAGTAACAATCCATCTCTCTATATTTTATATATATATTGTTTGATTTGCTGAGAAATACAGATCCGTTTGATTATATTTGTAGGAAAAATGCACAACGACCCGTCATGTCATCCCGGGTGCTCTTGAAGCTCTTCCTTTGTGCCTTGATCGGGTATACGCTCATCTTTAATTTGCAGGGTTTAACTTACTGCTACAAAACAAAACAAAATGATCGATGGTATACTCATGCCATATAAGAGTTTAATAATTAGTCCCTGGTCTACCTATGGAAATTGCTTTTCAGGATTGCGCTTGGCGTAAATCTGTACCATGTAAGCCTCAAGTTCACCTCTGCAACGGTGGCATCTGCAGCAGACAGCTCACTGCCTGCAATCACCTTCTTCTTCGCGGTGCTATTGAGGTTGTGTCATCGATATCATTAGCCTACCACTACTAAATAAATGCGAGTTCCACTAAAGCACAGCTACAGTAGCGTACACTACAGTGTCTTCCATGCGTTTTAGACAGTAAGGGCAGTAAGCTCTCTCTTACTATCATTAATTAGACGCTCCTTTTGAAGTCTTCACATTAATCCATATAAGAAAATCTCACAACTTTAGAAATATTCAGGCACCGATTATCGTCATCGACATAAATAGTGATTGGATCTGTTTCTATTGTTTAAAAAATTAACCACATTGTCATTACGAAAGATTAGCCCCTAAATATGTATGTAAATTACCACAGGCAATTATTGAAAAACTTGTAAACCACTAATATTTCGTCGACTCACGAGACCGGAAGTACATCATCTTACTTGGAAACCAAGGAATAGATAGCCATAAATAGAAATTGTCTTATTCGGGATTTCGTGTAACCAGTTAGGCTAGGATTCTTTGTAACCAACTTATGACTGATTGGACTGGGACTGTGTTTGTAACCCTACATCCTAGACTATATAAGAGGAGGTATGGAGCTCCTTATTAGTATCTATACCTCATCAACACCCCTATAGCCCATGCTGTGCTAAGCAATAAATCTCTCTAGATAAACTACGATGGATGTAGGGTACACGACAAGACTCTAACATACGGGTCGTTAAATCCACGGATTATGGACATGACAGTTCGACTAACCCCCAACTGATTCTCCAAATCATTTGGGGCTCTGAAACTACACCGATCGGGTGCGCTCGTGCACACCTCTCGACAACATCAAGCATGCACCCTTTGACAACATGGGATGACTCCGTGGTCCGCAGACAGCCCTGTGCCAAGGGAATCCCCAATATCAAAAGAACTGAGCTAAGGGAGGCCAAGTCCACGCACGGGCCACCTTCACCCAGGGGCTCGGGGGCTCGGCCAAGGCTCAAGGAGTTCCCAACCCAGAGGAGCCCCAGCCGAGCAAGAGCCCCCACGCTAGCCCCAATCTTGGCTCGAGTTGCACATAAACCCCGAGCAATGTCAGAAACCGGCCCCAGAACCTGGTAGGCATCCGGAGCCTGATAGGCACATAGCACCAAGAGCACCGGTCCACCGTCCCATTGCATAACGCTATCCCCTACATCTCTCTCTCTCTCTCTCTCTCTCTCTCTCTCTCTCTCTCCATTGTAAGCTCTCTTGATTGAGCATTGCTAACACAAGAACACCACTACTGGACGTAGGGCTTAGATGCCCAAACCTGCATAAACCCCTTGTGTTTTATGTGCTCGAGTCACCGGAGGCACACACATTGACCCACGTCGAACACTTGATTGCCGTCGCGGTTCCGAACCCACGACAAATACCTTTGACTAAACCAGTCTAAATCTATGTCTTGTATGCAACCCCTTTGATCTTACTAGTCTGAGGTAAAAGACACGAACAATATTTATCTAAATTACCCACCTATACCTTTATTTAAAAAATATATATATAAAGTAACATATCATCCTAAATTTATATCTAAATTATCCAACTATGCCATTTATAAAAAAATTAACCTAAATTAATCACCACTTGTGTCATCGTGAAAGATAGTCTAAAGTACCTCTTAGTTTATATATAATTATCCACCTTCACTGTTATTAAAAATAATCTAAAGTAACCACCTAAACTACATACATATGTCATTAGAAAATGAAATACTGAAAATACTTATACATGTACTTCTGAATCATTCACTTCTACCATTGTTAATATAAAAAACTCACAATATATGTATGATGTATGTCATCATTCATACCACTTAGGTCTTTCTTTAATGTAATTTCATGTGAGTTTTATTTGTATTTAATAAGCTGCCACGCGTTTTTTTTTTTGACATGACAACGTTTTTAAGAAGTGAGATGAAACTCTATTGACATTATTACCAACTCTATATGAGTCATGTATGAAACTATGGAATGAGAATGGATGTTTCATGCATATTTCATTTTTTTTTTTATACGATAGGGCAATCTTGTAAATAACGCCATATAACTCTTCACTGAAAATTGTCTTATCTGTATATACAAGAAGTGGTGACCATATCTATTTTCAAGTCAAACACACAGCTCAAGCTTGTTTCAACTAAAACCATGTCAAATACAGATGTATATGGGCGGGATACAAAGAGAAACTATGAATTGAAAAGAAAAATATATACATAGTTAGTAACTAAAATATATCACAACTAGATCAAGATAAAAAAATTATCTCTATGAGTACTACGATAGAGCAAATAGAAACAACTTTTATTAGCAGTGGGTCCTGAATTTATTATGAATTATGAATTTCTAACACCTATCTGTGCTAAAATTACTAGCCTAGAACACAAGTCGATGAACTAGTAGAATAGATAACACAAGGTCAACCGTCTGCTATAAAAAAAAAGATATAGGAGTACTTGTATTATAGTTGATCAACTTCTAACACGGTAACACCTAAGAGCAATTCCAATACTAGAAACCACGGCTAGTTTCTCAGTCTCTTAAATCATGTAGATACTACATATAGAAATCATATTTCTAATTTCTAATTCATAGTTTCTTCAAAATATTTTTTGTCCAATCACATATATTCTCCTACAGTATTATTTACCTACCACATCTCTTCATATATTTAGTTCTCATATTTTTTAGATAAAGGATACATAAAATCCAGCATCTATATCCAAATGGTATATATATATGTAAGTTATATGAGCTCTTAGGCTCAACGTCTTTGTTAATAAGGAGCATAAAACAAGAAAGAGAGCTTAAGGACTATTGGACTAAGAAAAAGCTAGAAAGAACTTCAGAAGTTCTTTTCCGTCCTTGCTTCCAATCTTATTTGACCTTGTGTGACAATAACTCTCCACGTCGCACGTCTATTAGAAACTAATAAGGAAATATGTGTATAATACGAGTGCTGATTTTTTTAATATATAAGGAGCGTGGGCTATATATTCAGCTAGTAACCCGGATTTAAATGTTGCTTGCCACTTGCCAGGATGGAGGATGTGAAGCTGAGGAGCTCTTCGGGCATAGCCAAGGTCACTGGCGTAGCGCTCTGCCTGGCTGGAGTGTTCACCATCGCCTTCTACGCCGGGCCGTCAATAAGCCCTCCCAACCATCACCGTGCCTTCGCCTCCGACCCAGCACCAGCAGGCTCGAAACCAGCAGTTCCGAAGGGGGTATGGATCCAATGGACATTCCTTATGGTGGTCGGCGAAATGTGCTGGTGTTTGTGGATAATCTTGGAGGTTTGCATGCACTAAGTGTTTCAAATTCTATGCTTCCTTGTCACCTGTTTCTCAACTCTCACACGTATTTTCTTTCTTTACCAAAACAACAAGAGCGTTGTGCGTTCTCTAATTCTGAGGCTCTGAGCTGTTCTTGCATGCCTGTCTGCATCCACAGCTGCAGTTGCTGAATCCAGGTCTGTGTTCATTGTGCAGACTGCGGTGCTAAAGGATTATCCAGACAAGTTAGTTGTGACTGTGACGGAGTGCCTGTTCAGCACGGTGCAAACGTTCGTCGTCGCGGTGGTCGCAGAGCGGGACTTTTCCAAATGGAAGCTCGGCTTCAACATCAGCTTGCTCGCCATCTTATACTCAGTAAGCTAGTTCTGCCTTTTTTTTTTCTCCCTCGTCTCAGCGTGTAAAGGCACGTTCTCGTGTAAACATAAAATTTTCAGTCGATCTCTTCCATTGGTGCATTCATTATTGCATTGGTCTTTGGCACTTGCGTTTGACCATGACTTTTTTTATCATCTTTATTTAGGGTTTAGGGTTTAAAAAAACAGATTAATTTTGCAGTATTTTTTATGTCAAACCAGTCGATATATTAGTTTTGAGTTTTTATTACCTGACCAATCTCGATGGTAACGTGTACACTAGTGACCAAAGTTTCTAGAGTTTGACTGCACATATGTGACTATGAGATGACTGGTTGCATGCTGCAGGGTTCTATGGTGACGGGAGCATCCTACTACCTGCAAACTTGGTGCCTACAGATGAGGGGGCCCATGTTTTTTGCTGCCTGGACCCCACTCTGCTTCGTGTTCACAGTATTTTGCTCCTCATTCTTTCTCGGAGAGATTGTTCACCTCGGCAGGTAAATCATATATCACTGTCAGCTGATCAAAGTTGCAATATTCTAAAAACGCGCTGAAATAAGCTTTTCTTTTCCACTCTTCCTTTCTTGGCAGCATCTTGGGTGGAATTTTGCTGGTCGGAAGTCTTTACACCATCCTGTGGGGTAAAAGCAAAGAGAGTAAGGCTGAGGATGTCGCCGATGACACTGAGAAAGATGAGCATAATAAGAAATCTTCACAGGGTTACCTGGAAGAGCTACAGCATACTACGGCAGAGGTCAAGGAATCAACGTTGACAGGCTCGTCAACTTTGCATGTCCAAGAACCATGAATCTAAGATCGATGGATTCGACTAATGTACTTAACCCCGTTACATGTCCAAGGTAAAAAAAAAGAGGATATTTTCCTTGGTAGATAGTAGATCAAGTTTACTAAATCCTTAATCTCCATGTAGTCGTAATTGTAATCCTCCTCAAGCAAAACAACATCCCTAATGCCTCTACCGAGTAAGTGTTTAGTTGGTCCTACGTGTGGCTAAGAATGCCAAGTTACTTTTGGCTAAAATTAGCCTTTATCTTACTTTGATGCAAATTTTGCCTTGGTAGCCCTTTCATTTGGTCACCTTACTGTTAGAACTTATATTTATCAGAATTTTATTTAGCCTAATACTGGAACACCTAATCCACTCTTTATGCTAAACAAGCCCAATATCGGCAATATCAAATTAGTTTAACTAAATCCACCATAAAATGTATGTTAATAGTGGATTTATTGGGTGCTCCGCTCCCTCCTCTATTCTGATAAGTAGGCTGGGCCTAGGCAACGGTCCGTTGTGACATGAACCTTCTTCCGACCCAACAAATGCAGAAAAGCCTGAACAACACCGTCCAATGGCCTTATTAGAATAGATTGAAAAGAAGACTATGGGCCGATATAGGAGGTCGGCAACAATTGTTGGTGCTCGTTGGCTTTCCCTTCTTAAATATGTTGTCCTAAAAAAAAAGAGGTTGTCCTCCAAACCCTTTGTAGAAGTTTAGCATTAGATCGTACTATACTTGTTAGAGATGAGCATTTTCTCTATTTGTTCAGCCTATATTTGGCGGACGACGATGTGTGGCAGCTATGTGCATCATAGTATCAAACCTATATTACCATCAAGCCAACAACTTTATGCACTTTCGGATGTATGATATTTTACTGTTCTATTATGTTTTTCTTACAAAATATTCGATCTTGCCAATGCTGTGCTTTGGTTCGTTGGGATTTGGGAATGATCCGGTGGGCAGCTTGGCGACTCAGCCCCAATGTTGTCTTGGGACTTCCTTCATTCTAATAAAATATAAAATATTTTACTTTTGTCCTAAATCAAACTTCTACAGCACTGACTAAGTTTGTTTTTTTTTTGCAAGGAAAAGGGAGCTCTAATCAAGTTGCATTCGTGAGCAACAATTTGCTCGATGCATACTGGCACGTTCAGCCTCCAGACAACGGAGTGGTGTGGACTATCTTCCACTCTCAACACACCATCCCCAGCTTCCTTGGTCTCCTAGGGCCGTTCACGTGCCCTTAAATCTGGCTTAATCCGCTTCTTTTTTCATCCGGAACAGTGTTTTTCTCTCACAAATTCCTTCAGCATTCCTCCAAATCATCCAAATTCCTCCAAACGAACAGGCCCTGCTGAGAAAAAAATTGACTGCCTATATATTCGGAAGCAAAAATGTTGGGTGACCTTAAAAGAAGGCCTGTTTTGGTCAAAGGAAGCAACGCAACAGAACGTACTTGTCAGCCGCTACTTTCCGCCGATAATAATGCTTAACGAAAGCAATGCGTGCGCACACGTACTACTTGTTTGTTGGGTCCAGCTCCGGGCGTCCATGTTCCGAAGCTCTTATTTATGCCTTTCAAAAAAAAAGAATCAAGCTAGCTAGGAGTAAGTGCTAATTATCCGGAAGCAAAAACTTGCGGTGACATTATATTAAAGAAAAGGCCTGTTTGGGTCAAGGAGGCGACGCGAAAACTCGTCGCGTTCCAAAATGGGTCGGCCGCCACTTTACTTTCGGGCAACAAAGATGCACGCACACGCAGGACAGCAATGGGAGCGTGCACTCGTGTTGGTTGGGTCCGGGCGTCCGGCTTCGGATCCACCATGTTTTGTTGCAAGGACGACATGGCCAGGCGAACGGCGGCGACGACGACTGCAATTCCCCGGCCTGTGCTGTACGGGAAAAGGTCGCCGGCCATCGCACGGCTCCCCGGCATGCATGAGCATGACCAAGTACCGAGCCCGTTCCGTGCGCCGCGCGCGCAGGAAACATGGGTACGTGACTGCTTGGCCAAGTGACGCTTTGTACCCTCACGCCACATTCTACGGTGCTAGTAGTACCAGGCACACCAATTTGGTCCGTGAGACAGCAACCAATGAAGTAATCGAGGAGTATTTGCTGCTGACGGCGGAGCTGATCGGATTCCAAAGGGCAGCAGCGAGAAGAGAACATGCTAGCAATGAGTGACATTGGCACAGTGGCACATGGGTCACTGCAGCTGCATGCATGCGACTGTTGTTGGATGCAACGCAACACAAAACGTCACAAAAAGGTGGCTCGGCCTCGGCCTCGGCGTGCAGTCCTTGTTGCCACGGCCTGAAACATCCATCCAATCGGATTTGATTTGCCAAAAGAGCCTCCCTCCCTCAGGCCTCCGGCACGCAGCATCTGGCGAATGACCGCCTGAGCTGACCTCGTCGGTGTCGGTCTGGACCGCCGGTCTCGTCCCAGCTGGCTCCCTGCAACAAGACCCATAGTCACCAGTCTGATCTGACGGCGCCGCTTCTTTTACCTCCCCCGATGTCAACAGCGCCCCGTCGTCCCGGGCATGGGAAAAGCAGCAGGAGTAGATTCTCATCCCGTCTCGAGTGCTTGCTCCTGCTCGGGGGTGATCATTGCTTGTTGTTGCACAAAGCGAGCAGATCAATCAGATCTTGGCCTCCGATCGCCCTGCCTGCGTCTTCCTTTCTTGCTGCAGTAGTCGCCTGTTCGGTTGGTTGGTTCATATCGTTGCTGGTTCGTTTATGTGAGAGAGAAGTACTTTTGACTGGTTCGCGTGAACAGTGCACGGCCAGCCCAGCGAGCCCCAGCGATCAGGTCAAGTAGCATTTTGCATCGGATTCGTCAGTCGGTGCTGCTCGATCACTGCGTGCAGGAGGACGAGGAGTCTGCATGCGTTCCTCTTTGCAGCAAAAGCCGGGAAAGGGAAAGCGAGACGGATCCCGCCCGTCTTTGCGTCACCGATCTCGAGCACGGCAAAGAACCCCGCGCTCTCACACTCATGAGCTGCGGCCACCAGCTTTTGCAATTTCTACACACGCAGAGCTCAAGCTTTGATCTTTGGATCAGAGACATACTCCTACCTCCCTTCTGTACACTACTACTAGTGTAGCTGATCGAGAAGATCTTGTATCACAGAATGTCCAGGTCCTGCAACACACTTGCATTAAACGGTAGCCGCACGAGACAACAAACATCTCTGAATATCTCGCACCTGCTTCTGCATGCTGGCTGCGATGGTAATGGTGTTGTATATATATGGTCCAAGCTGTCCAATTATGAGGCAAGTGGTCCTGATCTGGAACTGCAAGGTGTGTGATCCTGGCTCTAGAAGCAGACGATGATCAAAGACAGCGGAGGATGGAGTAGAGTACAATCTTCGCTCCGGCGGCACAAGAGAACAAGATCTGCTGCTGCTCCACAGCGGCGACGGGGCCCCGGGGAATTCATTGACGCGACGGACAGCCTCGCTTTCGCTGTTGCTGTCGCCGGACCATGGCCGGATGGCTCTGCTCTCGCCTCTCGGTTGCTCGGCGCTCGGCAGGACGGCCCACGGGAACGAAACAGCTTTTGACTGTCCGGTCAAAGATTCATTCACAACTAGAGCTAATCACCATGTACTAACTTTGTAGCACCTAATGTATTGTGTGTAGGAGTACTCCGTACGTAACAGATGGATGGATGGAATTAACAGATGCTTAATTACTAGAGTAGGTAGGTAATTACTACGGTAACTACAGAGTTACTGCTGCTGCTACCAGAACAAAGCATTTATCTTTCACCAGCTACAGTTCCAGCATGGCCACACCCCAAACGAGAAAAAAGAAAGAAGAAAAAGAGTAGAAGCAAAACTTTTACAAGAGAGAAAGAGAGAGAGAACAAGAGGGCAGAGCTCAGCAAGCGCCTGCTGCCCTGCATCTTCTCTACCACAAGGCATGGCGCCCCATGCACCGGCGTCGCCTCCCGCACAAAAACCACACCGCCACAGATTCAACCTCGTGCCCTAGCACTCTAGCGGCACCAGGATCCGCCCCCCACCCTACCTATAGCTAACATAATTCCTGTGGGGCACAGGGCTGCGCGCAGCCCATGACGCTCTGTTGCCTTCGACCTCTCGCGTCTGCTCCAGCCTAGCAAGCAACGGACGGTGGATGGCACTGGCCCTGGCCCCCGCGCGCAGGCAGCGTCGGCAAGTCGCCGGTGACGGTGACGGCACGCAGGTCAAGGTCCGGTCAGGGTCAGGGTCAGGTCACGCCAGGCGCTTCCGCTCGGCGGCGATGCTCAGCAGCCGCGCCACGCCCTTGGTCCACATCTCGTACTCCCGCTGGCTGGTGCACTCGAACTCGATCACCCGGTGCTCGGCCGTCCGCAGGCCGAAGTACCGCCGGTGCTCGCCGTCCTCCAGCAGGTGCCGCCCGGGCCACGCCACCACGTCCCTGCACACGTCGATCACCACACCTGCACAGTGACAGCGACGGACATGCATGGGCGTCAGTCAGTGCACGGACAACAGTGCCTGCCCGTGGGCGACAGTGGCACGCTGTTCAAGCCATGCGTGGTTGGTTGTTTTGCTGCCGCTTGCTTACTTTTCTTCTTCTTCGTGATCGTCCCTGCCACATGCCGGCTCTTCATCTTCACCATCACCTGCAACGCAAGCCACATTCTTCCGTAAGCTAAACATCATTACAACTGTCTCACGAAAGTTGAACAGCAGGCAGAAGCGATTCATTTACCAGGCCCATCCGGTTGATGTAAACCGATACGACCTTCCAGTGCAGAGCGCCTGTAGAACCACACACACAGACCAAACATCAGTACAACATCCATTCTATGCTAACAGTACTTCATGATTCGGAATGATCGTACACCAGAACATCATGAACAGAATGACCACAGGAACGAAAAAGAGGGGTTCACCTTTCCGGGTGCGTTTGAGGAGCTCAGTGCCGCGAGCAAGCAGCTCCTGACTGCAGATGCCGAGGAAGTTGTTCTCCTCCTCCAGCGACAC